ATTTATTTTTCCCCAGGGTGACACTGAGCATACCTTGACTTATTGAATCTACATTAGGAAAATGCATTGCTCCATCCCCGGACTGTAGCTGAAGGCTGTTCCCACAGCAGGCTTCCCTGCCTTTCGACAACGTTCCCCGTTATTTCACTCCAGGTCTGCGTGCGCCGACACACCCAGGAGAGGTTTGAACTGTCTGAATGGTAAAAGGTCCATAATGGAGTTTTTAATGAAAAATTGTGTCATGCTTGGAAATCTCTCACCTACGAAAAATGGAACAACCATTTCACTGGTACTGACAAAAGCCTTTCAAGGAGCTATTCAGAAAAGGTCTCTACTTGTAATCTTACCGTGTGCCTCTCTCTCTGGTTACATTACTTAGCAATTTTTTAACGTACTCACTTTGAAGCCCTCCGTTTGCACAAAGCGAGCTGATTTTGGTGTTTGAATCGTTTTGTCCTAGGACACAAGTTTTAAGGAATAGTTGGTGCCAGCTGGCTCTCCCTAAACTTACTCTTAATAGATGCTCATTTCATTTCCTTAAAGCGTTATTAGGGAAACCACATGATATCCGATTCTGAATCGCGCACGCATTTCAATTAGTGGAAGGCTACTGCAATTAGTTTTAAAGGAAGGCTGCAGGTCGCACCAGAATTTGAGGACAGCACGGCTGTTTTATACAGGCAGCTGTGATGTCCATGCCTGCAGGCCTCAGGGTAAACTTTACTGGAGGGCGAAGGAAAGTTCTTCCAGGAGATGAAATCACAAAAAGTGGCATATGGTAAAAGAGTCTTATCTCTACCTACAATTTCCTAAAATCAATCCAACCCAAAAAAGTCTCGGGTAAAACTTACAGCCTGCATTTTGAAAAGTGACCCTATGGATCAAATTTTCTCCTGAAAGCAAAACTGCTTCATATGCTGCAGGAAAAAAAATAATATATTAATTCTCTCACACACGGGACATAGCCGGGCACTAAGCCGCTATTAGACTCAATGCAACAAAAATTTGAGTATTAAAGTAGCCACTTGCGTATTTATTAAGCTGGAAGCGCCGCTGCACACATTTGGCACCGGGCTGCTCCCGGGCTGTAACTTTTCACATGCAAAGTTCACCCGTAGAACAATGCGAGCCAAGCGATCCCAGATGTGCTTTAAGTACAGGATTGGGTTGCACACCTTCGCGAGCGCCAGGCAGGGCAGAGCTGCTCGCGTCTGTGCTTTCGGAGCACGACTGATATCAACCCGTCATCCCCGGTGTGCAGGACAATGGAAAAATGTCAAGTTAAAAAAGCCCTGCAGATACTTGGCCCATTCAGGTGGGGTGTTAAAACCCTGCCAAAAGGACTTGCGAATGATTTATCAGCGTCACACTCTGGCCAAAGCTAAAAACCAGACTTTACTGCCCCGTTAATTTTGATACAGAAAACAGAGAAAGTTTAAAACATCACTGTTCAGCTTAAAAGAAAACAAAAATTGAAACCGTCACAATAGCTATGAGCGGATAGTGGTGTTTAAAGGGGGAATTGAAATCTTCTGCTATATAGCTAAAAAAAAAAAAAAAAAAATCAAACATCCGGCTTTTAGTGAAACGCATCTAGAGCAGATCACACCACATTTTCCACTGGCTTGTCAGGCGTAAGCATTAGTGTTGCAACCGTAGCTGCTTGGTTTTCCAGCGCAGTGTATTTTTACCAATTCAAAGCTATTTTCTTCTCCTGAAGTAGTAACTCCCCTAAACCTCCTTTATGGAAGAATTTTGGACATTTTAAGTGGCATCTCTCTTATTGGAACCATCAGGAAACACTTCTTATGGAGGTCTGACGTCAACTGTCTAATACTCAATAGGAAGAAATCTCATCATGTGTGTTATTGAACATTCATTCCACGGCAGACAAAGCAAAACATGTCCAAGGCCAGTGTAACTTCTCCAGCAGCCTCTGCTGCCAGTCAGTGCTTGGCGTGCAGCTTGGCAGGAAGCCGCTCACCAGCACTCGGACTTGCTGCTGCTACAGAGACCTTCTCGCACTGACAACCCTGCTGTGAGGAGGAGCCACTTTGGCAGGGCT